ATATTTGGATCAAAACAGTAGCAACTAGAGTGTTAACAAAAATTTTCTATTTTAAGCTACTGTGACCTAGTTTTTCATTCGATATGACCAATGTTCAATCTCATCTGAGCAATTACTTAGACAAGATAAAGTTTGATAATGATTGAGGCAAGAATGTGACAGCTAGTGTGTTAACGAACAATTGTGGACGGACAACAGACATTCAAAAATATTAAAAGCTCACCCTGAGCAAGCTCAGGGGAGCTAAAATACACAAACAAGAGCTTTCTTAGCACTGACCATTGGTACAGACAGCTTAGTACAGACCCCTTTTGTTATGATTTATCATAACATCCATTCTATTTCCATTTGCACTGTACCTCTGCTCTGGCATACAGAAGCAGCTAGCAGTTTCTTAGCAGGTCCAGGAACCAACTGAGCCATTTTTATAGAAAACTATCAAAGGATCATTCATACAGTTTCAAAATTTACCAAGTAAGTGATGAGTTCATCTTGTTTAATTTTTTTTCTATTTTTAGCTCTGGTGGCCATCTTGTTTAGCAGACCAAAACAATTTGAGCAAATTTAATAAAGTCTATCTAAGGATTATTCCAGTTTCAGTTTAATTTACCAATAAGGAGAGAGATGTTATATAAAGAGTTTTTTTTTTGCTCTGGTTGTCAGCTTGTTCAGCAGTCCAGAATCATTTGTGCATTTTTATAGAAAACTATCAAGGTATCATTCCAGTAGAGTTTCATCAAAATTTCCCAAGAAATTAAGGAGTAAATCTTGTTTCAAGGTTTTTCTATTTTTAGAAACATTTTGTTTAACAGACTGGACCCTTTCCGGAAATTTCTGGATGGGACCATCCAAGGATCATACCTGTGTGATTTAATCACTAATGGTGTAGAGGTTTAGGACGAAATGTTGTGTAAGTAAATATATAAATGACCCACAACAGGCTGAAACGGGTATCAGAACAGCTCAACTAGAGCATGTTGTGCACAGGAGAGCCACAAAAACTACATACATATTAAGACAAGAGGGCCATGATGGCCCTGAAGTCGCTCACCTGTATATAGGCCCCCCGGAGCGGGGCCAGTTTACACCCCATGGCTTTTATTTGAACAAACTTGGTGGACACCAATTAGAAGATGTTTCATGCTAAACATCTAAGGTCTAGCTCGTTGGGTTTTTTAAAAGAAGATTTTTTAAGTATTTTCTTTACACATATATTTAAAAACAACTAGAACTATCGCTGAATGCGATTCAAACCCCCACCAATGTCCTTGACAGAAGACGACTTGGAAAGGTGGTTAAGGGAATAACTTAAGTGGCACAAATACATAAAAAGAAATTATCTCTGGTGAAAAAAAGACTTATTGTACAGGTAATAGTATAAATATCTATTATCAAATCATGTTCGAAACAGTTACAAATAACCTTTCATTTTCCCAATATACTAAACTTTTTATAAGTCAATTTTTTACCTTCAAGTGTGGCCTTGACCTTAAGCTGGCACAAGGGTAAGATGGGTTCTGCACATCGCCCAATTTGGGTGAACATTTGAGTAACGTTTGAAGAAAATCCTTCCATTAGTATAGAATTCATAGAGTGGACACAACATATTGTCTAGTATTGATTGTATGTAAATTTAAAGACTTAAAAAGGGGCATAACTTTGTCAAAATGCAATACATAGTTATGAAACTGCATATCGTAATTGTGACACCTCATATATCTTTTAAGTTTCAAGCAAATACCTGTGCAAGTTTCAGAAATATTCAAGAACATGTTGAAATCTAAGAACATTTTCTAAGTCAATTTTTGACCTTCAAGTGTGACCTCGACCTTTAGCCTGCACAAAGGTGACATGGATTCTGCACATAACATTGTTTAGGTGAACATTTGAGTAAAGTTTGAAGAAATTTCTTCCATGAGTATAGGAATTATAGAGCGGACACGACATATTGTCTAATATGTGATTGTATGTAAATTTGAAGATTAAAAAGGGGCATAACTTTGTTAAAATGCAATACAGAGTTATGAAACTTGACCAGCATCTTAATTGTGACACTTCATAAATATTTTAAGTTTCAAGCATTTACCTTTCCTAGATTCAGAAATATTCAGATATATATTAAAATTTAAGAACATTTTCTAAGTCAATTTTTGACCTTAAAGTGTGACCTTGACCTTAAGCCGGCAAAAGAGTGACATGGGTTCTGCACATAACCTTGTTGAGGTGAACATTTGAGCCAAGTTTGAAGAAAATCTTTCAATAAGTGTAGGACTTACAGAGCGGACACAACATACTGTGTAATATTTGATTGTTTGATATTTGACCTTCAATTGTGACCTTGACCTTGAGCTGACACATGGGCAACATGGGTTCTGCACATCCCCTTGTTGAAGTGAACATTTGAGCCAAGTTTGAAGAAAATCTTTCAATTAGAGTAGGACTTACAGAGCGGACACGACATATTGTGTAATATTTGATTGTTTGATATTTGACCTTCAATTGTGACCTTGACCTTAAAATGACACATGGGCAACATGAGTTTTGCACATCCCCTTGTTGAGTTGAACATTTGAGCCAAGTTTGAAGAAAATCTTTCAATTATTGTAGGACTTACAGAGCGGACATGACATACTGTCTAATATATGATTGTGTTTGATATTTGACCTTCAATTGTTACCTTGACCTTGAGCTGACACATGGGCAATATGGGTTCTGCACATCCCCTTGCTGAGGTGAACATTTGAGCCAAGTTTGAAGAAAATCCTTCAAGTGGTATAGGAGTTATAGAGCGGACAGGAAAATGGAGACGGACGGACAGACCGACCGACCGACTGACCGACCGACTGACGCGACAAAGCGAATCCATTATAGCCCCCCCCCCCCACATTTTGTGGTTGGGGGAATAATGACACCCCTGGGGCAGGGCAAGTTTTGAGCCAGGGCTTTTATTTTAACAATCTTTGTAGACACTCACTAGAAGATGTTTAATGCTTAATATCTACACTCTAGCTATTCGGGTTTTTTTCGAAGAAGATTTTTAAGTTTTTGCTATACACATATTAGGAAAATCAATGTCCCCGGGGGCGGGGCCAATTTTGACCCCAGGGCTCTTATTTGAACAAACTAAGTAGACATCCATTAGAACATGTTTCATGCTAAATATCTTAGCTCTAGCTCTTTGGGTTCTTTAAAAGAAGATTTTTAAGTTTTTACTATATGTATATAGGAAAAATCAATGACGACCTGGTATATAGGAAAAATCAATGACGACCTGGGGCGGAGCCAATTTTGATCTCAGGGCTTTTATTTGAACAAACTTGGTAGACACTCACTAGAAGATGTTTCATGCCAAATATCTAAGCTCTAGCTCTTTGGGTTTTTTAGAAGAAGATATTTAAAGTTTTTTCTTTTGGTTGACATGGCAATCAGAGTTCTGCATGGAATAAAATTCTTTGAACAATTTTTAAAGGTGACCACCTAAGGAACATTCCTGTGAAGTTTGGATGAAATTGGCTTATTGGTTTATGAGGAGATGTCATTTAAAGTAAAAGTTTACGGACGACGGACGGACGGACTACGGACGCCGGACGGAAAGCGATCACAAAAGCTCACCCTGTCACAAAGTGACAGGTGAGCTAACAAGGGCATGATGGCCCTAAAAACGCTCACCAGAAACAACTGTTTTTCAATGTATGTAATCAACTTTACCTTGCCCTCTAGTTAAATAGATTTTTCTATTTTTAGCTCTCGAAGCCCGTTTAGAGAACCAAACACTAATTTGAGCAAACTTGAAAGAGAACATCTAACAAAGCTACAAACAAACTTTTGTGATAATTCATGTATCAGTTCAGTAGATGTTTTATCTTCTACTTTCAGCTTTAGTGGCCCCTAAATAAATTTAAGCATGATCTGATAAAAACCGTCTAAAAATGCTATAGACAAAGTTTGGGATCATCAATCCATCAATTAATTCACTAGTAAAAGATGTTAAAGGTTTTTTTTCAATTTTAAGCTTTATTGGCCCCTTAAAGGAGCCACTCAAATGAATATTAGCAAATTTGATAAAAGACTACATAAGGATGCTACTGACAATGTTTGGTAATCATCCATCAGTTACGTCAGAAAAAAAAGATGATTTAAGGTTTTCCTTTTCTGGCTCTGTTGACATGATACGAGCAAATTTAAGTGTGACTGTCACAAGGATGCTTCAGACCAAATTTGCAGTTAATTTGCCCAGCAGTTTCAGAGAAGATGTATGTTGATGCATTACAGAGCATCCCCCTAGAGCATCCCCCTTTGACAATAATAACTCAACTTGAATCTTCGGTTATGGTGAGCTAGAAATTGAAGCTTGTGGCAAATAAAAAAATCTGGAAGCAAAGTGATCCCTCAGAAGCATTTATCACAACAGAATTACAAGAGAATTGCAGTTCTCAGTTTGATTGAGTCTGTACATGAGGGATAATGAATACGTGCAACATCCCTCACGCCCCCTAGCACCGGCTTGAGCGGTACTCAATTCTAAACACTTAATAGTGCTGAAATCAATGACCCCGAAGGACCAGAAAAATATAACAACACTGAAGTGAAGTACGGGGCAACTTTTTACAGCTGCCACACAGCACTTGACACCTGCTGTAATAAGACTTGTTTTATAAGACTTGTAATTAAGACTTGTTTTAATAATCCTTGAGAAAAGAAACTTAATAAAAAATATCCTAATAAGATTACCCACTGTTCTTGAGTGGCATGACATATTGGTTTGTTTTCTAATATAATTGAGGTTCAGTTGCTAAACCCATTATTTCATATGAAGATTTTGTTCCATTTTTTTCCTGTTCCCTCATACATAAATTTAACTCAAAAGTTGTATGCGATCATTATTGACAAAAAACACAATAGTTCACCATAAACATATTGTATTTTCTGCTACAAATGAACAAGATTCAACTGTTATAATTTTGAGGAAAACTTGAATGTACTAAAGCATAAATTGTTACCTCCCTTCTTCTGGTTCTTCTTGTCTGAAAAAAAAACACACATACATGCATACTGTTTTAACTTGAAATATCTTTTCTAATTAGTTTTTACAAACCTTAATCTACTATGTGATAGTCGGTTTCAATACACCAGCATACTATGATTGTATTGTATTTACATTATCTTAAGAGTGTAATTATTTAATTCAAGCTAATATTATTCTAAGTCAAAATAAATAAGAGCTGTCAGAAAAGGAACAATACTTCGTCTTTTAAACTGTTAATAAACAAGAAATGTCGAACGAAACATATGCCATCCCTCCCCCTTCTAGCCCTTGACAAATACTATTGGTAATTTTGTTACAGAAACATAAATGGTAGATGTAAGTGTTCGGTTATGGAAAAAAGAAAATTATGACCTACTAGTGATAACTAATCAATATGTGAAATATAAAGACCTTGACCTTTGAACTTGTAACCCAATTATGACTAATAAATATGTGAGATATAGAGACTTTGTGATAAAAAGTTTTTAAGGCAATGAGCGGAAACCATCCGGATATTTAAGGCCCCTGTGACCTTGACCTTTGATCTCATAATCAATAGGGGTCATCTACTACATATGACTATTCAACATGAGAAATACGAAGAGTTTGTGATAAACAGTTTTCAAGATAATGAGCGGAAACCATTTTAACATTTAAGGCCCTTGTAACCATGAACTTTTACCAAGTAAACCAAATTTCAATAGGGGTCATCTACTAGTTATGTGAAATATGGAGACTTTGTAATAAATAGTTTTCAAGATAATCAGCGGAAACATTTCTGACATTTAAGACACATGTGACTTTGACCTTTGACCTAGTGACCAAAAAATAAATAGGTGTTATTTAATAGGTATGACCAATCAGTATGTGAAACATGAAATCTTTCTGATAAATAGCTTTTCAAGATAATCAGCAGAAAACATGTGGATTATCATCGGAAAGACCGATCGACAGACAGACCGAAATTCAGCGAAACAATATACCCCCTCTTCTTTGAAGGGAGGCATAACAAGTATCACAGTAACGATGTTTACCTTTTTTCTCTGGCATAGCATACAAATTATCCAAACCTGAAAAAAAATATAACTAGGGCTTTTTTTAATTCATTAATTATTTTTACAATTATAAAGGAGAATTTTTAGGATTTGTAGATAAGTTGAATGGTAAGTTAAAGACAAAATAAAGATAAGTTAAATAAAGTAAACAAGTCTTTGAAAAATTGGAATAAGTCGAGGAATAGCAAAATCTTACTCGAACATGACCTGTGAATTTGACAAATTTGACATAATATACAAATAAAAAATTATCAATGCATAGCTGCTATTAAACACTACTTAATTTGTACTATATGTATCTGACTGTTTTTCTTACTCTGATTAAATTGATAAACAAAGCATTAAATACATTGTAAAGAAAATCAATAACCCCTTGAGAGGGTCCAATTTTGACCCCAGGGCTTTTATTTGAATAAACTTGACAGACACTCACTAGAAATATGTTTTTCTTCCAAAATATCTAAGCTCTAGCTTTTTGGGTATGTAAAACACATAAAAGGACTATCAATGACCTTCGGGGCCAATTTGAACCCCAGGGCTTTTTTGTACAAACTGGGTTGACAACCATTAAAAAATCTTTTATGCTTAATATCTTTTTTGTTGTTTTTTTTGTGTTCTTTTTAAAGAGATTTTTTTTTTGTTTTTACTATATACATATAAGGAAAATCAATTAACTCCCAAGGAGGGGCTAATTTTGACCCAAGAGCTTTTATTTGAACAAAGAAGATACCCATTAGAAAATGTTTCATGCTTAATATCTAAGCTCTAGCTCTTCGGACTTTTTAAAAGAAGATTTTTTAAGCTTTAACTATATACATATAAGGAAAATCAATTAACTCCCAGGAGGGGCTAATTTTGACCCCCAGAGCTTTTATTTGAACATACTTGGTAGTCACATTAGATGATGTTTCATGCCAAATATCTAAGCTTTAGCCCTTGGAGTTTTTTTTAAAGAAGATTTCTATTTTTTTCATTCTGCTGCCATGGCAACAAGCGTTCTGCATAGAATTAAATTCTTTGAACAATTTTCAAAGGAAGATTTCTTTCATTCCTTTTAAGTCTGGATGAAACTGGCTTTACGGTTTATGAGGAGATGTCATTTAAACAAAATTTATGGATGCAAGATGAAAAGCACCTTGTCACATTTTCAAAGTATAGTACTACATAAAAATGTAAATGTGATAAACTGATGCGGACATGACAGCTCTCCATATTCTATGTATAGTCATGATAAAAAAGTTAGATAAACTGCCAATAATTATTGGCATTTTTTCTTGTCTATGTTGTCATTATATAAGTTGAAAATACCGGTAATCAAGCTTGAATGCCACTATGTTTTTTTTTAAACAATTTGCTGACCCCCCACCCCCACAAAAAAGTCTCTGAGAAATAGAAACTTTTAACTTACCAACATTTGCCTTCTTTGGTTTTTTATCAACCATAGCATACACATCATCTTTTTTTTTTTCATTGTTAGCTGAGGTTCCGGATTTTACCTCATCAGCAGAAACATACATTGGATTGACAGTATTAACTGTAATAAAATAAATGATCAATGTCATATATAAAGACCAAAAACGTGTTTGGTAAACACAAAAAAAACAATGCAGACTCTTGTCAGTACCAAATATTCAAACAAGAGGGCAATGATGGCACTAATATAACTCACTTGATTATTTATACTCTCAATGACAAGGAACAAGTAATATTGTAAACTTTAAAGGAAAGCAAATATAAATCTAAATCATGAACTGATATCACAAAGTTCATAATTGTTTCTGAAAGAGTGCGCATGTAGAAACAATACTAGTTGCTATTGCTGTGGGAAAACAACAGTTACACAGGAAGTCACAGGTTTTTATAAACAATAAATTGTATCTTTAGAAGTATGTGCCTGCTATGAAATCCAATGGATTTCCAATGAAATCTTTGCTATTGGTTGTAAATGTTTGCTAGGAAAGTCACTGGTTGATATGTAAGTAAACAGTGCGCTTTAAAGTCCATGGCTGCTTTAGCTCTTGAAGATATAGAAAAGAAGTCTTTACTAAATATATAAGGAAAATATATGTTCCCCAAGGCAAGGCAAATTTTGACCAAAGGGCTATTACTTGATTTTTTTAAGAAGTCCACCAGACACATGTTTCATAAAAAATATCTAAGATATAGCCTCTGTAGTGAAGATTAAAAAAGATTTGTTGCACGCGACACATTGTCTCAATATGGTGATCATTTCTGTGAAATAGTTTTAAAATCCGACTTTAAATAACCAAGTTATGGGCCAAAAACAATTTTGCTGCAAGGTCATGCTGTGACCTTGACCTTCATGGAAGCGACCAAAATGTTGCATGCGACACGTCGTCTCAATATGGTGATCATTTCTGTGAAAAAGTGGTATACCTTTCTGTGTCCAAAACCTATTCGGGGAGCATCACTAGGTTCAGCCTGCTCTTGTTTAATAATCTCACTTTTAGAAAAAATCTTGTCCGGGACATAACGAAACTTTGTAGGTAGATAGATCTCAATGAGTAGCTGTGCAGTGCACAAGAACGGTAACTGTGCCATTTGGTGGTGAAGGTCATATTTCACACAGCCTTAATTTCATGACTACATCAAAGGACAACACAGTAAGACACTTTGTCAAAATCTAGGTCAGCTGATATCAAAGTTCACTTTACATCTTAATCTGTGCACATGGTTCAAATTTCATAGCTGTACATCAAAGAATAAGAAAGTAGGTCACATCATCAAAATCAAGGTCACCTGATATCAAAGTTCAATTTTACAACTAAATCTGTGCACATGGTCAATATTTCATTGATGTACATCAAAGGACAAGAAAGTAGGTCACTGTCCCCTTGGGCAAGGCAAAATTTTGACCCAAGGGTTTATTTCAAAACAATCTTGATACAGGTCCACCAAACAACATTTCAAGTCAAATATCTAAGCTGTAGCTTTCTGCCATTTAGAAAACATTTGTTTTATTTTCTTTTTTTACTATCTGTACATAATGAGAATCAATGCCCCGGGCAGGGCCAATTTTTACACCAGGGGAAACATTTAAACAACTTTGGTATTAGTAAGTAAGTAAAGTTTATTTTATGTAACATAGGCCTCCGGCCCAAAATACAACATAATACAACAAACATGAAATAGCAATGGTAAAATACAATGAGATGATCATAGATATACATAGTATATTGTAATATAAACATTGATAGACATCATATCAATTTTGTTTTATAGATATATAAAGATATTAAGAGAATTTCGTAGATCATTTGTAGAATACACTATTTAATTACCTTTATAATGTTTTATGTATGTATTTTTTTAAGTACTGAATTGGCGTCTATCTTTAAGTGCATGATCAAGAAAACGTGCGATAGTCTTATATAATGTCACATCTGCGTTTCTTAGAACAGATATAAATTTTTCACGTGAAGGATTTTTCACCAGTATATCTGGTAGAATGTTTTTACGTATAGAATTAAAGTGAATACAAATCAAGAGAATGTGATATTCGTCGTCTAAGCCCGTAAAACAGAGAGGACATATCCTTTGATCAATTGGTATATTATTGAAGAATCCAGTGTTATAACCCAAGGGCAGTAAACCGCCTCTTAATTTTACAATGAGCGACCTGTAATATGAATTTTCAATTTGATCTAGGTACGATTTTCTTATAAAGTCAATTTTAATGCTTTTATAAAACAACAGTCTGCTAGATGAATCAAGAGCCTCCCGCCATGTTTGAACATCAATATCGCGCAATCTTTGAGATAATTCGCGACAGAACAAGTCAATATTTCCTACTCTATGGTTAATCCATACATTACCAAATCCATTCATGAAAAGAACACGCCTAATTTGAAATGCCCAGCAATCAATGTTACTTTCTGCCCAACGGTATTGGACTTTATAGCATAATAAAGGTAATCTATTTTCATTCATTTTTAGAATCCTAAACCAGTATTTGATTGCTTTAAGAACTCTGTTACAATATAGTGAAAAACGGCCCAACTCTCCATATACATACTTATTAGGAGTTGACCAGTTTAATTTCAATGCATATTTACAAAACTTGTTATGTACGATGTCAATATCTTTAGCTTCATAAGAAAACCAAATTTCAGAGCCATATGTCAATATAGGCTGTATTTTTGAGTCAAAAATTTTTAACAATAGAGATACAGGAAGTTGTCCGAATCTGTATAAATTAAATTTAAGTGAAAAAATAGCTTTATTTGCTTGTTCAGAAAATGTTTTTTGACACATATACCATGATAATCTAGACGAAAAAACTATTCCTAAATACTTATAGTAAGACGTTACTTGTATATTTTCTACGCCATAGAACCATTTTTCATAAGCACGCAGGTAACCACCATTCCTAAAGACAATGACCTTTGTTTTATCAAGATTAATTTTTAGATTCCAATTTTCACAGTACGACTTTAACCGATTAATCATTCTCTGAAGCTCTATTTTTGTTTCGGCTATTAGAACTAAATCGTCCGCGTAAAGTAAAGTGAATATTTGTTTAAGTTCTAATGAGACACCATGGCAACCATCACTAACATAATTATTAAGGTCATTTAAGAATAGAGAAAATAGTAATGGAGATAACGTACACCCCTGCCTGACACCAAACGGGCATTCAAAACTTTCTGTTAGTCCAGATGGGGATTTAACTCTTGCTTTAATATCATGATATAACGATTTGATCATTTTTAAAAACTTTGTACTAACATTATTTGAGCATAGTTTATTGTATAGAGCCTGTCTATTAATTCGGTCAAATGCTTTTTGAAAATCAACGAATAAAGTATAAAAACGGCCTTGAGGTTTTTGTAGATACTTGGTTATAAAAGTGCACAGGCAAATATATTATCTATAGTGTTTATAACCACTCTAAACCCACCTTGTTCTTCACCTAATACAGAGTTTGCATCACACCATTTCTCAAGCCTTCTATTAAAATAGATGTAAATATTTTACTCAGTACAGGTAGTAAGCTGATTCCACGATAATTACTTGGATCGTTTTGGTTACCATTTTTAAGTACAGGTGTGATAAGTGAGATTGACCAATTGTTGGGAAATTCACCATTATCGTATAGCTTATTATATAACAAACATAAAATCGGGATAAGTCTGTCAGAGGCTGCTTTAATAAACTCAGCTGTAATGCCATCAATACCAGCTGATTTGCCTAATTTGAGTTGACCTATTGCCCAGCTGACCTCAGAGGGAGAGATTGCGGAATCAAGAATATCATTAAATATTACACTGTCGTTTGTGATATCATCAAACTCACCGTTAACAACTGGATTAAATAAACTATGAAAATAATTATACCACTCCTCAGTTGTTATATTAACCCGATTAAGGCCTGTGTTTGTCTTTAGATAATTCCAAAAATAGTTTGGGTTATTACAATTGGCAGCAGCGACAAGTTTTGATCGTTCATTAGCTTCATATCTTAGCTTACACTTACGACATGTTTCTCGATATTCGGATTTAGCTAATTTGTAGTTGTTTAAAGCGTTATCAGTGCGTGATCTACGAAATTCTCTTAACCTCTGAAGAACATTGGTACGAAGTCGTTTACAAGTAGAATTATACCATTTTTGACATTTCTGATTTGTATTAAGATTATTAACACCATTATTTCTGTTTATGTTTGATCCAGCATTGTAAAAGCAATCTGTTAGTCTCTGTATAGCTAGATGTATATCATTATTATCTAAAGCAGTATTAAAATAGTCATACATAGAGTCAAGACCTATAATTAACTTTTCAATGTATTGTTGTTTATTATTTTCATCCCATTTCAGTTTAGTATATAGATTTTCAGATACATTACTAAATACTTGTTCAGAAAGATTATCTTCTAATTGTGATGAGCTCTTAATTTTAATGTAAATGGGCATGTGTATAGATTCAATTCGGTTTTCAACATCAAAATCTAAAACATAATCAGATAATGACATATCAGACAAAATATAATCAATAAGACTAGGAGAATAATCAGTATAACATGTACAACAACCTTTGTCAGCATCGTTACCGATTCTGCCATTACATATACGAAGCCCAGTAGCAATACAAAGCTGAAGCAATTTTTGGCCATAATTATTTATAGATTTACCATCAGCATTAGCTCTAGGTGGCGGAATAGTATCTTCAATATAAAAAGTTAATCACTTAACAATGGAAATTCATCATCCATAGCAATATTATCTGGGTTTGTGGATGTATATGCATTTAAGTCACCTAAAACAAAAATGGAATGACCTGGATAGTCACTTTTAAAAATAGCAAGCTCGTTTTCGATGATATCAAACAATGCCTCAATCGAATGTATGGACGAATTTTCTGGAGAAATATACACAAAACCTAATAGCATATTATGAAAAATATTAACTTTAGATTTAACAAGTATCCATAAAATATTGTGACTAGAGGATCTTAGTTGTCTAATTTCTGCATACTGAAATATAATATTTTTTACAAAAACAGATATTCCACCTGA